CAGGGCGGGCGCTGCCGGCGCCAGGGCCGCCGAGGCAGGGAAGGCCTTGACCTGCTTTGCCAGGAGCTGCTGCTGAATGTGCTGCTGAGCAGCTTGCTGCAGCTTACTGTATTTCTCCATTTCCTCGGGTGTAAAAGTGATCGGCTGGCTCTCGAGCGGTGCTAGGGAGGAGTCCTCTCCTCCTTCCCGATCCCCTTCAATGCTCGGCTCCCCGCTCTGAGGCACGTAGCCAGGAAAGTGCTCGACATCTGGAACCAAGGGCATCATACCGGTTTCCACTGGGACCGGCTGGTTGCCCCCATCCATAGGTTCTAGCCCATCACCATCGCTCGGATCCGAGAGGAAGTTGTGCGGCATGACCAGATCTCCAGAACCAAAGCACTCGGGCAGTGCCGGTGCTTCGAGGGGAATGGACGGCATTTCCACGGCAGGTTCGTCACGTTTCTGCTCATCCAGAGGTTTGTCCTGAATTACCATCACCACGTCTTCCAGGAGAGACTGGCCAGCCAACTGAGACTCCTCAATGCCTTGGGAAACATCCTCAGAATCCGACAGCTCTTGCTCCTCGCCCCTCTCCAAGCCAGACTCTTCGTATCTTTTGGCATTTGGTTTTCGAACGGTTGGCAATTTCCCAATTAGGGGGAGAACCGGTTTGTTGCCTAAGGAAGGAGGAAGTTTTGGGCCGAAGTAGCCCTGGGGAGGATCTTTGAGCTTTATGCCCACCTTGTTTGCCCCCGCCAGCATCTCGTCAGCGACGCAGGGCTTCTTCTCAACCTTCCTGGACTGAATCTTTTCCAGGAGAAGTTTTGCAGTGACAGAGTTTCTCTCCTCTGGACTGCAGTCACCTTCCGAGGCCCTCCCCGTGCCAGAGCCGCTGCTGTTTTGGGAGAGCGAGCCAGATCCTTTCAGATCCTCTCCTTTGCCATCCTCCTTCTTCTGCGACGATCCTTCGCTTCGGCCTGCCCGGAAATAGTGAGGAGACTGCGAACGATAGATTTTGGACCTGATGAAGTCTCTTCTCCCTGACCTCCTCTCTTCAGGGCTCTCGTGGCCTCGAGAGCCCTTTCGCGAGAGAGACCTCTGCGAGGGGCTTCTCGTACTGCGGCTGCGATCCCTGCTGTAGCTGCGGCTCCGTTTCCAGCTGCGACCCGTTACGCTCCGGCTTCTCCTCTTGCTTCGACTGCGGCTGCAGCTGCTGCTGCGTGTCCTGCCCCGGCTCCTCGTTCTTGACCTACCTCGAGGGTGAGTTCGGCTCCTGCTTCGACTCCTCGACCGGCTCCTGCTCGAGCTGTAGTCATCTTCAGAAGATGAGTACTTGCGCCGTTTTGATCTGTGATTTGAGCTGTTGTAGTCGGAGTCATCCTCTGAGTCGTGGGACCGCTTTGAATGGCACCTTGACCGGTCGCTGTAATCGCTGTAGCTATCATCCGAGTAACTTCTCCGACGGCTATACCGGCTGTGCTCCGAGGAGGCGTCGGAGCTGGTGGAATAAGACCTGCGAGAGGAGTGCCTCCGCCCCGACCTGGAGCGGCTCCTGGAGTGGTCGCTGCCGGAGTCGTAGTCGTCACTGTACTGCGACGGGGATTTCTGCCGGCAGTGCTTCCTGTGAGAGCCCTCGTCGCTGTCGTAGTCCCCGCTGCTCTGCCGGCTCCTGCGGCTGGTCCTGCCCAGGGAAGGAGCCGAACACCGTCTCCTCAAAGTAGACAACTGCTGCAGCTCAGCCTTGTGTTTTTTGCTACCGTGCTCTTGGCAGGAGTTACCACCATCCTCTTTTTTACTGCTGCTTCCCTCTTCGGCAGACAGAGACTTCCTCTGGGACTCCTGAGAGCACCGCTTTTTCTTCGGGAAATGGCTACAATCTTCAGACAGTTCGTTTTTTAGCACTCGTTCCGATTCAGTAGAGAGAGAAGATTTGCCTTTTTTGTGCCTGTGCCTTTTCCGTTTCTTGGGTTTCTCTTCCCCCAGGTCAGTTTTTCGGCTCTTCTCGTCAGCTTCCTCCTTGTGTTTACGTTTGTGCTTGCTGGACTTTTTGTGCTTCTTTTTCTTTTTGTGTTTATGGGATCTCCCAGATTTATTCTTACCGGTTATGCTTTTACTACTGTCCTCTCCCTCTCCCTTACTAACGCTTGTCAAACTGGACTCCTGCTTGTTCTGGGAGCCACAGGTGGACAGAGATTTGGTTTCCATTTTTAGAGCAGAACTGTTAGCTGCACTTTCTGCCTCCTTGGGTTTGCTTATCTCACCAGATTCTGCGCTCTGAATGTTTTCTTTACAAAGACCCCCTGGATCCTTAGATTTCTCTGTCCCTTTACCTTTAGCATCTTTGTTGCGAGAGCGCTTGAAATCAAAATACAAGGGGTTACAACTGTACGAAACAGATGGTTCCGCTTTGGTAAATATGAGAAGCTCTGAAGGCCACTGGAGAGTCGTGCTCTCGTCTTTACTCAGAACGGGAAAAAAAGGTCCTGTTGGATGCTTTGGTCCTTCGATGACATCTTTACAGCCTGGGGCAGGCTGAGCGACTTCTTTAGCAGTGTCTGGCTCAGGGAGATTGCTCTCTGCGAGATGCTTGCTCTCCTGCACACCTGCATTTTCTGGGACTTCTTTTAGTTCTGATTTGCCCTGCTGAGCTGCAGTTTCAGTAGTACTCTGCTCCTTCTGCTGTGCCGTGCTCTCAGCAGCCTTCTCTGTGTGCTTGCCGGGTTTGGGTTTTGGAGAACTACCCTTTTTAACTTCATGCGTAGTTTTTTTGTTCACATTTTCAGCTTCCATTTGTTCAGTAGACTTCATGAAAAGCAGGAATTGAAAGTTAGGCTTTACTTTACAATGGGCTGGGGGAATATAGTGGTAGTACTCTGGTTCAACTGCCATTGGTCCATCTTCTCGTCTCATCTTTTTTAGTTTAGACAACGTAGTGGCTAGAGACCCACTATCTTTCTCATGTTGGTCATCTTCCTCCGCCTTGCCGTCAGAATTATTTGTGCTTTCGCCCTCGCCAGATTTCTGCAGGCCCCCCGCATCTGAGGACCCTCTCTCGTCAGCTTTTGCTCCATCTGCGGAACTTGATTCTTCCACGTGGTCCTTGAAAACAGACGCTATGGTCTCAAGCTTTACCGGAGTCTTCTTGGCAAATGAAAACGACACGCCTATCTTCTGCAGGGGAGTGCCCAAAGTACTCTTAATGCCAAAGCTGATTGCCTGCGCTGGCTGGCTGGGCATTTGGCTTGGCATAACAGTGCCACCGACTTGTCCAGTGTTTAGGAAACCTCTGTCCATACTCATCTCTGTAGCTTGGCCAGAAGTCGTCTGGATGAAAGAACTGCTGTTGGCTGCAGAATCATCATCGTCTCCACCTTCCTCATCCACAGCCACCGTGGTGGTTCTGAACATGGGTCCGCTTCCAGGAGCGCTGTATGAACAAGTTAAAATAGAAAAACAGCTGACTGCCATTTGTATGCCTCTGCAGTTGGTTTCACACCTCATCTAAAACAATCTTTTACCCATTTCAAGTACTCTTGTATCCAGAAACATGCATTAAAATAACAATATACGGCTATCTGCATTTTTTAATACTACTAAATAACGGAAGAAAATTAGTGTGGCCGGCTAAAGCGATTTGGGGATGCTCTGACTACCGTTTTAGCGAGTTCACTCCTACCAAAACCACAACACGAGGCCAAACTTAAGCACGAAGCTTTGCCCTCAAAACTTGTGCAGGATTACAGGAGCAAGAATGCCAGCGCGGCAAAGGGCCGCAGTCCCACGCAGGGCTCCCGCACGCACGCTCCGAGGGTGCGCAGGGATCGCCTGTACTCACCATTCAGGCTGTCTCCTCTGTTCAGCCAGTTCGTGTAGACGCCGGAGGGCTTTCTCCTGCTTCCGTTCATCTTTACGTGATCTTGAAGAGACATTGCGAGCAAATTCCCTTTGCTTGAGATCTTTCAACCTCTGAGGCAAAAGAAAGCAGGAACAGATTAGATAAAAGCAGGTTGTGGTTAAGTGTCCGAAAGCGTCCCTTTGCTGTAGCACTGGAAAGTACGCAGTAAAGCCCCTCCCCAGTAACATTTATTGAGCTAGGATGGAGCAACAGCATCTTAGCTCAACAAACCAAATGGAGCACATTGCCATCCTCCCAGTAGCTAAATGAAAAGACAACTGTTGATCACTTTTGGCTATGACTTCGAGTCTGTGTATATGCATTTCCAATCAACATTACCGGTTTTCTTTAGCATGTACAATAAAGCTGATTTCAAAGCAACAAGCAAATTCTGGAAGGAAAAGGGGAAGGAAAGAAAAAAAAAAAAAAAAAAGGACTGTTTGCTGCTCTTGCAGGGTGCAAATGTGGACAAACAGTGCATGACAGAAGTCTTAATAGCATGGGCCAAAGAACAGGAAGGGATTAGCTGGTGCAAGAGAGTTACCCAGGTATTATATCTTACAAAAGCAATGTACAAATTACATTGGAGAAGATGCCAAAAATCCCATGCAGATGATTCCGGTAAGCAAATAAATAATACAACACACACCACAAACAGTTACTTGCTTTCCTGACAGTAGTTCCGAGCAGTCTCTCAAGAAACAAAATGCTCTAAAATGCAGTGCGGTCTTTCGGGGTTTAATATTTCAGAGGGCAGAAACACTAAGATCCCCAAGAAATCTTATCATGTGAGGAAGCACACCCAAACCCAAGGAATTTCAGACATCGTAATGTCACTGAGGAAACCTAGATATCCAATTGTAATAGAAATAGAACATCCGCGACTTCAGCAAATCTTTGAAAGAGACTTCAGGAAATTTTTGAAAGTCCTTGTCTCAAAGCACTAGGAAAAGAGGCTGCTGTTTTTCCTTTGAATACATGTGAAAATTCACAAGGCTTTTTTTTAGAAGTTTAAGTAACAGAAAGCAGCAAAGAAAGACCTCTACCATCCTAAGGGATTAATTTTTCTTTTTTTTGGTGCACAATTTGAAACCCTTCCGAAAGGCCCAATTCCAGAAAGCATCATGTACCCAGCTTTTGAAGGAGTTTCATGTTTTTCAGGCATTTCATGAAGGGCCTGAAAGACTAACAGTACTCAAAGCAGTAGTCACTTTAGAAAAATCCTCGTACAAAATATACAAATCATTGGTGAATTCTAAATATACCTTCTGGCTGGCTGACTCTGCCTCTTTAACGGAGCAGAGTCAGACCGGTACACACAGGAACAGTGGATCTGAAAACTAACCCGGAGTTCAAATCAGAGGAATTAAGCGGGCCCAATGTAAAGAGAACATTGCTTTGTGAAAAAGGGGAAGATGTGACAAGACAGAGAATTCTCTTACCTAATCGTATTTACTAAATGTGGTTGAGCGTTACCAAAATCAGAGGGGAGGACACACAAATAAAAAATACAGCTATAGACACTAGTAGAAAGAAACTCACTCTTGTGATCTGGACTCCAAAATTAGAAGGGTTTGCTTTCAATACATCAGCTGAAAACATCACGTCACAAAGAAAAAAAGAAAGTAAAAATATAACAAGAATGGAAGGGGAGGGGGGGGGGGGGGGATAAAAAACAAACACA